TATATATATATAGATATAGATATAGATATGCCCAAAGATAAATCTAATCAAATTGCCTAAGAGTTTGCTCCCAACTCTGCCCTCAATACTAAGCTATTGAAATCACCAAAAGTCTCGCAAAATGGCCCATTTGCTAGGCTATTTTCCAAAGGAACTCTGCCATACGCCTTGACTACTTGCTGAATAATTAAGGGTACTGTCCTAGGAGTGTAAACGAGTCGAGCAAAACTCGAGCCATTCTTGGTTTGAAATTAAGCTTGAGCTTGATTAATTAGTCCAGTTTGAGCATGAGCTCAAGCTTAACTCTACAAGTTCGTTCCAGCTGACGAGTTGGCTTGTTTAGTATGAAAAAGAAAAAATATATATTTTAAACTAAATGATAAGTTGAATGAGCGTTTAGGAGGTAATTAATAAGAAATTACATGATATAAAATGTAAAATATTATTTTTTAAAAATATATTTTTAATAGGTTAAAAAAAACTCTTAATTTCAATATATTTTAAGTATATTTTTAGTTAATTAATTTTTAAAAGAGCCGGTTCATGAGCTAACGAGTCGAGTTGGGGCTGGCCTGAGCTTGGCTTGTTAGCTTATCGAGCTCAATTCGAGTCGAGCCCAATTGGATCACAAGTCGGCTTGGCTTACACCCTTATACTTGCCAAAAGAACTCGCCCTCAATCCAAAACTAGCATAAGTTGCCAACTAGGCAGAGTCGCCCAATACACAACTAGATATACAAACTCCAATGTATGTACTTTCTATGTAATCACATTGCGTAGCCAACTCTATAGCATCATACTTAATCCCCACCTAAAAATAAAGACATTATATCAAGTGATCTTGTACACAAAATTTTATCACAGTAAAGTTTTCCCATAGTTTTTTTAAGATTCTCCTTCAGATTTCTAAAATATCTTTGAGCTCAATATGACTCGGACCTTCACTATCAAAGAGGTTTAATTAAGTCTTTGTTGATCAACTAATTTAAGATAATCTTTGAGAGATAATCTCCCTCATCCCTTATACTCTATAAGTTCAATCAAAATAGGTAGTGGGTCCCAGTATCTTTCACAAATAACATGGAATCTAACATCCTTTTAGGTATAATAAGTTTAAATTATGTCAAAACAAAGAGCTAAATCTTGGAGCATTCCAAAGACAAAGTAAAGACCTCACACATTAAATAGCCTGAAGATTATGTGGCAATTTCAGAACATTAAGAATCATCTCACGAGAATAATTTAGGGAATTTTCAAATCGCTTTTGCAAGCTGCTCCTCTTCCCCACTCCACTCGTGAAGGAGAATCAATTATCACTCCAAGGTACAAACACTACCACAACTCCAGTTCTCTTTGATGGATTCGTCATATTGGAGATTCCACTCGTCCATCGCACAACAAAATGTTAGGCTCGCCTATAAATGCATTTTCAATGTTAATCGAGGAAGCTCGTCTACCACTAAAATTCAAGATGCTTCTAAAGAATTCATGCATAAGTAGAACCAAACTACCTGTCACTTGCTTCAAGATAACATTTTCCCCCAACGCTCATGACTAATGACGTTGAGAAGTTTAAATTTCTCTTCATCACTTTCAAGAAGGCCTGGCTAAAAGGGTTCTCGTGAGTTCATTCGAGGAGCATCACCTCCTTTTCTGACTACAGGCAGTAGCTTATCGTGCAACTCACCAATGCCCAGAGATAATCGAACGCATGAGCCCTATTGAACATGGTGGGCGTATGATAACTCTCATCATTTCATTACACGCGCCCAATGAGAGATGCGGAATGTTTTAAGATTTGGAACCTATTATCATTGGATAGTGCTCGCCCAAGGCTCATAGTTTTATTATGTTACGTCATTGTTA